AAGGGATACTGAGCCATGATCTTATGCTGTCAGCCCTACTTACATAATTCACTTATATTAACTAATATTAAAAAAAAAAAAAAAAAAAAAAAAAAGTATTCCAAACTTCTTTGCACTGCTTTTATCTGATCTCCTCTCTCCCTTTACGCATACACTTTCAGACACCACAGACAAATTTCAGAATGCAGCTGCGTTCTTATCTAATTGTTTATTTGGGGATTGTGTTTTGTTTTGGGGTTTTTTTTTGGTAGTTATTTTAATATTCCCTTCTGGAATAAAATGTTGATAGCCCCAGGTGAATTTCTATTACAATTTTATTCACAGCTTGCACATCTTCTAATGGCATGAAGACTATTTTCTCCTGTTGTTCTTGTTGTCAAGATGACTAGTGGTTTTTAGCTCCTCTGTGTATGCTCTTGGAATGGTTGGCAGCATGCTGACAAAAGCTGGTTGCATTCTGCTTTTCTGGTAGTTGCCATTTCTCCTGTTTGCCCTTTCCTGTTACTTCTCCTTTTACCTTTCCCCCACCTCATTTCCTTAAGAATTCCAGTGCAAATTGACATTTTATTACTGTATGGTTGCGCCATCACTGCCTTGGATACAAATATAATCTCTCTGTTACACTTCAATGTGAGCCGGTTTTTACTGTAGCTAAATGCTGGACCATCTACCCAGCCCAGCTACCTCCTACCTTGCATGAACTCTAGTATCCATCAAATACAATCTTTATTTCATGCAACTTCTGGGACATGACAGCATCTGATTTTTGTCTATCTGCGTTGATACAAGCCCAGTAGAATAACGTGGAAGTGAAGGAAAGATCCACTTAGTTAATAAATTTTGGAATATTGATACTAACAGCTTGACAACTTTTATGTAAAGTCTGTGTTTTGAGATTACAGCCATTTTGCCAACACTGGACACATAAAGCCATATTTAAAAAGAAAAGAAAAAAAAAAAAAAGAAGAAAAGCATGAGAAGCGTGAGTAGGATTGTGCATGTGACAGGGATGTAGAACTAATGGAGTCACTTCTACTCGATCTTGACAACCAGCCATGTGGTTCTGGTCACACCTCCTTGGCTGCACTGCAGAGCTGTAGTGTCAGTTGTTACTTTCTGAGGTAGCTTGTGCAGCTCCAGCTCAGCTGGCCTTATATGGGAGTCTGTCTGTGATGAAGATGTCCCTGCAGTAAGCATCGTAAGTGTACTTACAGAGTTTTCTGTGGCATAGCAGACCTGTGGCTATGGCAGGAGGAAGGTGCCACTGCCAAGATAATTCACCTGATCTCAACTGCAGCTTTTAATGCTTGAGATCTCTTTTCTGTCCTATTTGCTCAGTGACACAGCAGCCTCCTCTGGCAAATACAGTAAATGAGAAAATTAAAGAGAAACTGTTGAGCAATTTACTCTGTACAAAAATGGTGTGTGGTGATTGGCTGTGTAAGTCTGAGTGACAAGCAGGGGAGGAGAGACAAGCAAATGTGCAGCTGTTCTGGATTAACAAACATGAAATGCAAGCCCTGTCTTCATGAAAACAACTAAGCTTTAAAGACAAAATGCATATGTACTAGTAAAACAAAGACGTGGAAGTAAGGTTTGTGTTTCCTAAGAGCATAAAGAGACATCCGACCTAAAAAGAGTGTACATGATGCGCATTATTCAGCTAAGTAATCAGCTGGCACTAAGCTGTGCTGACAGTAGAAGCTCAAGCTTTTCATCTCTGGAAGCTTGAATTATTACGATTTTTGAAAATCTGAATTGGGTCAGTAATGTTTTGGCAATTTCGGGATGGTGTGACAGTTGGTGGAGGGCATTATAAAACATACCATGTGATGCACAGCCAAGCAAATGGTGTGCTCAGCTGTTCCAAGTGGTAGAGCCAAGCAGGAGGACTCCTGCTCATCAGGAACAAGGGGTGCTGTCTGAGGACAGGGCAGGATCCTGCACAGAGCCTGCCTGTACCGTGCATGATTAGCTGATTATCTCCAGCCTTGTGGAGTGCTGCGTTCATGCAGCAAATACTGTGAAAACATGAGCAGGTCGAGGATCAGCCTTGTTCACAACAAAGACATAAGCAAACTGATAAATATCTCCTAAAGAACTCCCACGGAGGTCGGGAAAAGGGAAAAGGTCTGTCCTTGGTGACAGACACCCTGCTAAAGAACAGAGGGGATACAGGAGAAAAGAACAGATTAAGCATGAGGGAAAACTACCACAAACAGAATGGAAAGTTTATTCAGTGCCTGCATTTGTAAACCAGGAATGTATTACATCAGAGTGAAAAAGGGAGTTATGGAAAAAAAAAGATACCTATCTTAAGCAAATGTGATACGAAAAATGATGCTACTTAACTTGCATGTTTAGCCAGCACATATTCTCAGGGAATTAGGTGATTTAATTAATCTAAATAAAAAACACAGACAGAAAAATAATTTGAAAAAACAAAAGCTTTACACTTCTTTACTGCTGATGTTCTTGTTTCCCAAATGTCATCAAGCATTATGTATTCAGTACACGATCCCAAGTTCCAACTACAGATTTTCTATGATCCTGGGATTATAACTTAGAGAAAACCTGATTAAGTTGTGTTCTTTTGACATCCCTGCAGTAGCTTTACCAAATGGAAATACAGGGATGTGATCTTTTATTTACCATTCATTTTTTATTTTTTGAAGTTAATCTATTAAAACTGCTGTTTGCTCTCGCTACACAAAGAGTTAATCATTTCCTCTTAGTTTTTCCTTCTCCACTCTTGTAGTGTGGGCATGCTTTTTAGCATTTACCATCAAAACTTTCCTACATTGCAAAGGACCGCTATGATTTTTTCTTAGGCAGATGATGAAATGAACATCAGAAAGACTTTTTTAAAAGTATGTGTTAATTACACTACTCAATTTGAAAAAGTTCATATCTGTCTTTTAATTAATATTTATTATGCAGTTACCCTTTATATCTGGCTACGACCATGACTGATCTGAGCAAATGACATTTTAAGCTCCAGAGTTTTTATATGCACTGCACAACAGATATGGTTTCACAAACAAATTGTGTGGGTAGAATGTGAAGCCATGACTTCTACTTGTGTTTCTGCTGTTCTGTTCTTACACCACAAGAGCACAAAAGATTCCGGACATCTTGAGTCGATGCTGTTTCTGGAGGGATATTGCCTCATAGCATACATAGCGTCTAGAATTTGGCCTATTTCTTCTGCTTCTGGCCATTTTTTCTAGTTTTTTTCACTCTATAAAGCTAATTCCTTACTGCATGTTGTTGCGTCTCTCTTTTCCTTAACTACTTGCCTTTTCTTGCCTTCTTTTCTTATATCCACACTCCTGTTTCTGTTTATTGTTTTGTTCCAGTGTTCCAGAATCACTGCTTTTTTCTTCTTTCTCACTTTTTGGAAAAGCAAGAGTGTGATTGTTTTGTAATGAGCCAGATTTGCACCTCATCATACTTTTTTCCACAGCCCACATTACGTCTCAACAGGGATAGGCCCACTCCATTTCTGCAGCAGTAAGTGATGGAAAGTCCTCACCACAAGCTTACCTAGAGCAGTGACCGTGCTCCAAGAGAGGACTGATAGACCTACATCAGTACCCCTGAGTATTCAGAGAACAGAGCTGCTACATTTCTACTGATTTCTTATAAACAGCGGTGAATTTCTGAAAAGGAGGAACTCTTTATTAAATCTAAGAGCATTTCCACCAGGCTTCATTAGAAATGTCAGCAAAGGGGCATCCAACATATTGGACTCTGAGCAACTCTGTGTGGCTCTGCTACCAGGGCAGCTGGATATACCTGGCTGGTGCAGATGTCCAAATCTGAAGTTGTGGAAGGGACCACAGTGGTTGCTTAAGCTTGATGTTGCCAGATGTGGCATCCCAGCTGCAAATCCAGCCCTATTCACTTCAGCTTTCGTAGAATGGGAGGATCCCTGGTGACTTATGACCAGTCTGTGCTCTGTTTGCAAGATTTCCCTTTCTCTCCCATTTTCAGATGTGCAGTATTTACTGCATGACTCCAAGCCACAATAAGATGTAAATTTACTGCTCAAGAGGCTGGAAAGGATGGCCAGCCTGGTAATGAGTCAATTGCTAATTGCTAACTAATTTCAGCAACTGGCTGAAATATTTTCAAGACTAAGAAGATGGGTGAGTTTCCTGTAACTGTGTTTTGGAAAACAGCTGACTAGGTTCAGCTGAAGCTTTCAAAGAAGAGTGTGGAAAGACTGAACCAAAAGTACTCTCTTTAGCAAATGCAGCTTACCATCCAGCACTCAAGGAGCAATTTTAGCCTTCTCTACGGTAGTTGTAGCTTGTACTCTTATTGTTCTTTACCAAGATAGTTTTACTTCATTTTGTTTTTCATCACTTAAAATTACTGATGCAGTAGGTTTTTGTTGTTGTTGTTTTTTTTTTAATCGTGAATGTTTAGCTGTAAATTGTGTTTTGCTACCCACTCTGCATTGTTGCTGAAAAATGCTGTGGTAAAAGGTGACCCTCTACAGTGATCAGGTGTTTAATGCCTTCTTAATTGGACTGTGATCAAATTTAATAATTTCAGAAGTAATTCTAGTGTGTCAAGGTTTCCGCGAAAGTGTGGCAAATGGATGAGCTTTATTACCTCTAGGGATGTTTGATGCTTAATTAAGTTATTGCCTTTCTTTAAAATGAAGTCAGAAGTAATATCATACGTGTTCGAAATGCTCACTGGTTTAACAGATCAAGTGCTGAAATAATGTTTTACTTTAGACACAGACAAGCTCTTGAGCTCTTACAGCATGTTTATTTTCTTACCTAGCTGTTCCATATGATCATATCATGCAGGGCAATTACGGAAGTTTTTATCTGGTAGATTACCCTGCTAACCTGGCACTCCAGTGAATTGTTATGTTCCAGCAAAAAGGCAGGGCATTATGCAAAAGAGCACTTCAGCACAAGAATCTGTTTAGCATAGAAGCACATTCATTGTGATTTTCACATTATTTTACTGTTTTGTAGGACTGTATTGATGTGGGTTGGTGGGAAGGAGAACTGAATGGCAAACGGGGAGTGTTTCCAGATAACTTTGTCAAGCTTCTTCCTTCCGATTTTGAAAAAGAGGTAAGCATTATGTTCTTTCAGTTTCACTGTAGAATGCAGAATGAAACTAGAGCTGAAATTTTGTTTTAGATAGACGATTTAGGCATTTTTACTTGTCAGTTAGTAAGAAATAAAAGAAAAAAATAAGGAAGGAAACAAATCTCTGAGTTACAAAACATCAGTGAAGAGCATGTGTATGATTGACCTGTCCAGTCTGTCAGTCTCCACTACGTTGTCCTGACAACACTCTGCCCTACGTCCTGAGTTTGAGAGAAACTGGTGATCTCAGTGTGATTTGCCAAGTCAAGTGATGCAGTGATTATCAGAATTATTAACTTTTCTCTTTTGTTTATGAGGCAGAGCATCCTGTTTTGCCAGCAGTCATGCACTCTTCAAGAATGAAGAGGTTGAAACTGTGAGGTCTGAAAGATTGTAATGAGCTTTTGGTATCTCCAAGACATGTTACATTACTCTCTCAGAATTATTAAAAAGAAGTATGAAATCTGCAGAAAAGCTTTTTCAGCTTCTAGTTATTTGAAGGAGATGGCTGTTATTTGCCAAACAGTAATTAGAAATCTTGCAGCTCCCTGGAATAAAGTCATGGATTACTTCCCTCAAAAGTCCATTCCATTTTTAGGAATCTTTCAGTCACCAGTGTGATAGTATGAGCTTGCACTTACACTTTTGATGAGTATTTCACAGTGACAATATAAGCCTTCTGTGATAAAACTAAGACTTACTGACACTCAGCTTCAAACTTTGGCAATAAAATTGGATGCCAGAGGCAATAATTAAATAGCTTGGAAAGCTTAATAAAGCACTATTAAACAACTCACAGAAGCTAACACGATAATTATTGAAAATGAAAGTAGAAGAGCAGCAAAAACTGCTGGAGTTTAATATGCAATATCAGAGTGTATATCCTGGCTCCAGGCCTAGTAATAAAAAAGCGATTTCCAAAAGAGGCAGAAATTATAAACCTTAAGACATAGCGAGCATTCAAATTGTATTCTAGAAGAAGAAACTCTTCATTTTTATCCATTCTTTTTGGTTGTTAAATTTATTCAGTCTTTCTAAACCAATACATTGTATATCTTTAAGTATTTTTAATCTTTAGATTATGGTAACTGTAATTTATGGAATAAATTAAATATTCAGGCACTTAGAAATTGCAGCTAGATTTTCTTTAAAAGTGGGGAATTAAATTTTGTTGATTTTAGAAATGGCTCAGATCAGTCTGTGTGTCTGTTAGAACTATAGACTGCCTTTCTTTGCTTGAATCAGTGTTAAAATGGAAGGAAACGGATGCTTTTCCAGTGGTTTTGCCAGGTATTTTCTGATATGATCCAGAAACCTTGGATTCCATCCCACAGTCTGAAACAATATGAGTTGCAGTAGTTCTGCTTGTTGAACAAAAGCCTGGGATCTTTCACCATCTCCACATTCCCAGTTTACCCTTCCATTGCTTTCCCCACGTGGCCATTTCTCCCAGTGCTCGCTGCCCAGTCCCAGCCTCCACCGATGGGAGGGCCAGCTCATAATGATGGTGAGGAGAAGTGGCTGGTGCTGAGGATTCAACACAACTTTGCTGTTTTATTCCGGACTAGTTCAGGTCCGGTCGCATTGAATCAATGGTTGGAATACATGAGTTGATCACCTTTAGCATTTCTTTTGAGTAGTTCTTACTGAAAAGACTCTACATCATGTTCCCTGAAACTTTTCTCTGAGGAGAACCAAAGTACAGTCAGAGGAGATGGGCAAGAGAGAGTTTCACTGCAAAGTTCACTCCTAATTGAAACTAAAACAATCATTTTGATACACCGCAGAGCAGAACAAATGGCTCATTAAACAAAGTTGCTTCAACTGGAAGCCGATGAGGGAAGTGTATTGCTTTGAAAAAGCAGGCTAACATCAGAGAAGGAGATAGTGGGAAGGAGCACTGAAACTGCTCAGGAAACATGGAGAAGCAAGGAGGAATTGCAAGACTCTGTGGCTAGATAAGATAACCGAGAAGGTGGTGGAAACAGACTACAACTGAAACCCCAGAGAGGAAACTGGGACTGGTTGGACAAGAAGAAAACAAAACAACAAAGCAGGAGCACAGAGTGAGAGGGGAGAGAATAAATCAACTGGGTAAAGAAACTGAGCGTAGAGGAAAAGTGAATGCAGATGGTGGTTCAGGTAGTGAGCTCGGGAATAGGTTTCTTCAGTAAACCAAAGGCCATGCTTTTATCTGATCTGGAACCTAAACAACTGTTTTTTCCCTTCAGCAGGACATTTCAGCTGCCAAAGTAGAAAGATGCTATTTCATTTGTATGCATATTTTCTGTCTTAAAGTTCATTTTATGAAGTCATTTCAGGGAAAATCTGTATTCTCTGTATTTGTGAGTCTTAATGCTAAGCAGTGTATGATTATATCCAGCCTTTGAGTGAATGAGATTCACGGGCATTTTGAAGTGACTTCTTCTGTTACTAAATTTTAGAGACCGAAGAAACCACCACCTCCATCAGCTCCTGTCGTCAAACAAGGATTAGGTAAGTTATAGCTGATACTGTGCAGCTCATGCCAGTGAGGACATCTCAATCTAAGTAAATGTATTCAAATTTAGAAAGAATTCATCTGTATCCAAATTGATATGCGGGAAGTATACAGACAACTAATAATCAGAATCAGATTGCAAAAGGATGAGGTAACCTCAAAAGACTGTGATATGCTTTTTAAATGTGTTGCAGGCAGCCATCTGCACCATTTAAAAATAATGTGTTTTGTCCCTTGTTAATTGTTAGCAAGCATGATTCTTTAATTATTAGAAATGCTGTTCTATTTTGATTGGAGTTGATAGTGTGCTTGTCTCTGCAGTAGGGACAAAAAGTGTTGGAGCCTAATACTGCATGCAGTAGGAAACTATCTTCCCTTTTACCTATAGACCTATAGAATAGGTCTATTCTAAGGAGATCTTTTCCATACGTAAGACAGTGTTAGAGAACCTGGCTGTAATTCAGTGATCCCATCAAAGTTGCAGTCTAGGTATTGCAGATCTGCATCAATACTGGAGCCAGCTGTCTGTCTGCAGGTTCTATGCTATAGTTAGATTCTTGTTTTATAATACTTGATAAACAGAGAAGTGAAAGGAATTATCTTGAATCTGTCCATGTAGATAATAGTGTTGCAAATGTATGAAGTTGCTGATTATGTTTTCCACACGTATGAGTGTTAGTAAAGCTGTTTTTGAGATATGATAGGCTGAATTGTATCTAAATATTGAGAGTTGAAACCACTTTTATTTGTGGTTTAAAAATAACCTCTCAATACAAAAATCTGCACGATTTCTTAACTCTGCATGATTTTTTTTTCTGTGGAGCTCAGAAACAGTTGAAATATCTACACATTCGACAACTCTGGCCTCAGAAACTGCATTCCTATTCCCTTCATGTTAAATCACAAATCACGAGGCATGAGGCGCTCTCGGAGTTTTCATTGGTGTTGCAGTTGTGGTGGAAGCGCAACTATGGCTGGAATTCCCTAATCCCTTAACCCCAGTGCCTTAGAGTTCTGCAGTGGCTCCACCACTTTCCTCACTGTTGGTGCATGTTAGAAAAAACAAAGCAAACACAGTGGATCTTTTTTGCTGTCCCGGTGGTCTGTTCCCACTCTCAGTGCTTTAAAAAGTACATTTCCTTCTCCTCCAGCTTTGATCCATTAATAGGATAAACAAGTTACACCAGAGTGTAATTTGCTGAGAACCTATAGGTTATAATTTAAATGATTTAATTTTGTCAAGCGGTTCTTTGACTAGAGAATCACAACAATAACTATTTGGTTTGCGTATTGGCAACGATGGTTTGTTGCAAACACGGTCTGGAGACACCGAAAAACAGATTTGGTTTCAAGATCATTGATCTGATTGTGTCGAGGGAGAGCAGTGTAACTTTGCCATCTAGTGGTGGCTGCATACTGAAGATGTGTGAGAAACAAAAGTTACAGCCTGATGCCTGTTTCTGAAAAGCTCTGTAAATAGTTATATTTATTTCAATTTTTACTCTTGTCTCATGTTTCTGATGTAAAATTAGGGGGTATTCCTTTAAATTTATTGTACACATACAAACTTATTTAAATATTTAACTTAAAATTAAATATTTTACTTAATACAAAGTTTGATATTGGAGTATTTAAATACTTATTTGAACCTACTTTTACATGCTGACATGTGACACATTAGCCACGCTATCATAATGTGCCTCTTTTCAGAAGTAAAAATGGAGAGAGTAGCCAAGGCTGCGGCTGTTGTTTCTTCTCATAGCCCACCTTTGGCTAGTCCTGACAGATTATGCACATGGTGTTCTTCTGACATGTATTGAGAGGTGGAAATCATCCTCTGCTATCACTTTATCAGATAATCACTTTACCAAGATGATAGTGTTTTACCACATCCTCACATCAGGCTTTCCTGTTGATAATTTCCACTAAGGTTTCTGCATGGTAACCAGTCATAATATTTGACTGAACTGTCAGTTGCAATCTAAATAAGTAAATAGAAATATATTCTGATGCAGAGGATAAAACTATTGCAGAGAAATAGAATTGGTCTTTCTAGTACAAGTGTAAGGGAACTTGTACCTAAACTGAAGGGTGTCCCTGGGAACTTGTGTGGAGCTTTCTAGAATTTTCTCTACATCACCATCTCTTGGCAGCTTAGTCAGGGTCATGGAGCCTGGGAGCTGATTAAAGCAGGGTCACAACCCAAGCAGGGAGCACACCTGAGCCTGAGAGCCCATAAGTGCTTGTATAGCCATTATTTTAGATACTACCAGAGAATGTCCTTCTGTGCATTAATGATGAACATTAATCTTACTGTAATTAATAACTTTGGGCTTCTGACATTTTTTTCCTTGAACCCACTACTGTGTACAAGATTATCAAGAAGCTGACTCGTGCTTAGCTCGTAACAATGCTTAGCACTTGGTTTAGAAATGCTTGAGTTGGTTTCTGTCAAGAGTTCTTCCTCTCAGGAGCGATGTAGTTTTATGGCACATCAGTGTTATTTTGGTTTCTTGATGTGATAGGTTGTACAAGTATTGCTCATCCAACAGTGCAGTTGCATAAAGAAACAATGGCCTATAATCACCACTGATTGCAATTTGCACTGATGAGTACTGGTTTCTAGGAACCAGCTGCAGCAGAGAATTGTGACCATACATTCAGAAAATGTCAATTTACTTGAGAACTACGTAGAACTGAACAGACTGAGGCAAAAAAAAAAACACGCCTTGTGTTCCCTGCCCTGCCTCCTCCACTTTTCTTGGATGTCGTTACTGCTATTTTTATTGAAATACTAAGAGTGTTACCTAAAGCGGTTTTCAACACCGCTAAGTTGAAATGGTATTAGCACCTAGTGGTTAGCCAACGCAGTGGAGCCAATATCCAATAAAATATTACTTATAATATGGGGACTGGAAGATTGCATCTTGCGTGTGCCAGGAAATTTTTGCAAAGTCTTCCCGTTGTTGCTGCCACTAGTTCTCATGCTCCTTATAGCAACAGAAGGCAGTGTGTCAGGGTCTCTAACACAGAGGCAGAAAAAGGCAGAGGCTTACACCTCTAGGCCAAAAGCTGTCACATAAAATAGTTATGCAGAATACTGTTGGTACTGTATTCCCATTCTTCTAATGTGTGGAAGTGAACAACTAGTGTTGGAGGTACAGTAGAACAGGCTTTTTTTTAACTTAATGTAAAATAAAGCTTTATATGCGTATTAAGCATTTTCTTGGCAGAAATGCCCAGTGAATTGGTGTACTCTTAGTGATTTTCCTCACCGTTGAATTGCTCTTTGCTTCAGTATATTTACAAAGTTAGAAGACTGTTAAAATATTTGTCCACATTTAAAAATCTGTAATTGTGTCCTGTATGTGTAAGCAAATATATGAAATTAGATTTATGTTCAGTTTTACCAAGAAATGTCTGAAGTAGGAGATTGTAAAAAGCCTTAGAAACTGCAAAATTGTATCTTGTGTGGCCTTATGTGGTGGCTTGTTGACTTGGTCAGAATTCTGAATTCTCCATTCTTTGACAGGTACCACAGATCGAAAACACGAAGTCAAAAAGGTGCCTCCTGAAAGACCAGAATGTCTTCCTAATCGAACAGAAGAAAAAGGTATGAAATGTGCTCTGCTGCTTACCCTCCTCAGAGAGACAGGGCTAACGAGGCTGATACACACCCTCGTTTCCTAGCCCCACAATACATAGTTTTCATTAACTATATTGTTAATTTGATTATTTCCACCCTGATAGATCTCTGATAATATGCATTTTGGAAAGGATCACACTGGTATTTCTGAGCTAAATTCAGAGTTTTCAGTTGCACCAATCCCAAGGTGTTAAGTGATTGCAACCTCAGCTGAAGTCCAAGGGAGATATGCTCTCAATACAAAAAATACTTTCTAAAGTTACATGCTCAGTAAAACCCAGGTCCTCAATCAAGCATGATACCTCATATCAGTGCGTATTTTTTCTTAACTTTTGTATGCATTGGTTCTCTAGTTGAAAACTATCAACCCTGCTTTTATCCATCCCAGAGAGGAGTTGCAAAGATATTCTCATTAACGCTTATGAATCATTCCATTATCAGAGCCACAGATGTCATAGGCAAGCCTGTGAAGAAGTAAAATAAAAGCCTTCAAAGCCAGGTTTAGAACTCTGCAAGAAATGAGGAATAGTACCACACAGAGCAGTGAGAAGTGAACAAAACCTTTTATAGTTTCAGCGTAAGTTCATGGTGTGTTCTGAGTAGTTTGGGAAAATAGTCATATTGATCGTCTAATTGAAGATGATCTCATTTCGTATGTTTAAGTGGACTGTTAGATTGTACAGACTGGTTTAATTATGGGTTCCTTCAAAGTGTTTGAATTTGCAGTCAGGCACATGTATGAGCATGACTAACTATATAACATGCAGTTATAATTTAGTGCCAGAACATTCAGACTTTGCACCAAGAGCTGTTTCTGTACAAATATTCTTAGCAGTCTGACAGATATTCTAGCACTTCTGTCTGCATAGCTTTACTTCTGGTTATATGCATTATTTCTTGTGGTTATCTTAGGAGAAAATCCCTTTGTTTTCCATTTTGGATTAACAAAGCCAAATGTCAAAAAAATGGTGGAGGTTTGAATATGTTGCTGTCCCAGGGCATAAATATCTGTAACTTTTCTAAGTGTTGAAGAGGCAATGGGAATCATACCTACATTTCTGAAATGCCTGGGAGTGATGGGAATTGTTTATTTTGACAATATGAGTGAGCATGGGAAACTTCCTTTGCACTGAACACTGGTGCACTGCTTAGCCCATCTCTAATACATAGTTTAGTGCCTTAGACACCTACACAATATAAATAGTCATAGGAATAAATGTGTAAAAATTACACAGTATAATCATAAAGCTTCGCTGTTACAGAGGACCAATAACTGTGTCAACAAAAAGTGTGCTGAAAAAGGGATTTGTGGCTGTGAATAACAATCACATACTGAACTGTTCCAAATCAAATCTGAATCCGTATTGGACACTGGAGATATCTCATACTTTTATGTCTCCGTAAGATTACATAGTAGTCCACTGTATATCTCTGCACCATGCATTCCTATGGTGGATGGTGTTTGGATAACTTAAAAAGCACAGCAATAAATTGATCCTTGGGTGTCCAAATGCTGTTTGTTTATCAGATAAACACACACTATTGCATTATGCTAAAACTTTATTTCAGTATTTCTACTAGCATTTCCAGAAAAGTTTCTGTTGATTTATGATCCCCTCAGACTGACACACAGAGCCCACCAAGAAACACGCATTTATATTCTTAATACCTCTGAGGTGTATACAAAGACTTAATATTTACAGCACATTATTGACATTGTTGTCAAGGGAAATAGGGTGTTGACACAGTAGGATACTGGGAGGGAAAGTTTTGCCTTATCCTCAAGGAGAATCAGATTTCCTATGCTGGCAAATACGTTCAGTTTCTTCTGTATTTGTTTTGCATTGTGAACTTAGAGCATATTATTTTGAACAGTTATTAGTGTGTAATATGTTTGACATACTTTGTATGTTTGGCATTGAGTCTTAGTGCTGTGGCATCTCCTGATAATCTGTGCTTCATGTGATTTACGTTTGAACTGGGAAGCTGAAAAAGTCAGAATATGTCTGCTTAAAAGTCTAAATAAAACATCTGATTTTTCAGAGGGGTTTTACATCCTGCCCAACATGTCTGAATTTTAATGCTTGTTTTTTTATTTAACTGTGGTTAAATGGAACATTATTTTTTTTCCCTCTCAGAAATCCTATTTCTCTTATTTGTTCAATAGAAAATCCAGAATTATTATCTTTCTAACCTTCTAACTTAATATTGGTTTTATAAGCATTTAATATGAGTTGCACTCAGGGGAAATTGTTGCACGTGATATGTAATTTCTTGTTGCTCTTATTTTTCACATACGCTCTGAAACCAATGAGTTACTAAAATAAAAAATGCCATTCACATTCAGATACTCCGTACACATTTCAGCCATGAGGAATTATGTTCAGAACATTCAGGCACTGCAGACTGGTTTGTGGCAAACATTTTAAGTAAAGAATGATTTAGGACAGAAATGGAAAGGAAATAGGATTATTCCTTGTATATGATGTATCTACACTTGAATTGTTACCGTTCAATTATAGATGTGTTAGTGCAAATAAATTCCACTTAATAGCCTTTGTTTTTTTTTTCTCTGGAAATAATTGATTTAAAGAAAGATCAGAGAGAGAGCAAAAACAGTTAGACTTGCAGAAGCCTTCAGTTCCTGCTATACCTCCGAAGAAACCACGGCCACCCAAAGCAAACCCTGTGAACAGACCTGGTACCTTGCCTCCAAGAAGGCCAGAAAGACCAGTTGTGCCTGCGACTCATGCAAGGTATTGTTCTTCCTCTGTCCCGTGCTTTTGGAATTAAAGGAAAAATCACCTGTATAGAATTTAGATTTTGCAGCTAATGCCACAGTTTGCAAAGAAAAATAATGCTAATAAATAATCTTTCTCATTATCTGGCTGCATCGTAACCATCTCCTCAGGAACAGCAGTTTTAGCCCGGTCATTACTAGTTCATCTCCACCGATGAATGTAGTGAAAGAGAAATGTCATGGTTTCCTCTGCAGAATATGTGAGAAACATCTACATCAGTGTGTTGTGCTGCTGTTGATTTACTTAGTCTGCCTAAATTATTCCATCTTAGCCAGAGCATTAAATCATTGCCAAAGCTTGGATTGTACTGAGTGAGGAACGGTGTTAGACAGTGTACTTGTCAAGCACCGCCAGCTTGGTTTTAGTGTGTTTCCCTTGATCATTGTAGATCAATTTTTTGCATGCTACATGTGTCTTCTCAGAATGTCCTTTAAGTTGATGCTACTGCAGAATTCTGCTGTCAAGTGATTTAATCTCTGATGTTGGTTGTTATTCTGTAGTTACATGATGCTCCTTATCAGAGATGGTTACAGCCTTTTAGGAGCACTGGAAATCTAGGCTTGTGAACACATCTCTGCTCACACTGGGAGAAGCTGAGGTAGAACTTAAAGGCCCCACCTATAATCCTAATTGTGTTTAGATGGCTACTTGATAGTTGTTACATTCTTGACTGTGCACTGCAGACTTTCTTTATGCAAAGTAGGTAGAAATAGGTGAAGACCAGAAAAAAAGCAATTGTATAAATTTGGCTAACTGCATGCCTTGCAGAAATAGTACTGTAGACACAGAAATAATTTTACTATTGAACTGTTAGAATAATTTGCTGCCATGGAACTAGTGGAATTAGTGGAACGTTGACATTACCAAAATGGAGTGGAGGGTAGAGTGGAATAAAATAAAAATCCTATGCATCAGTTCCCTTCATTCTTCCACATAGGCTTCATTAAACATGTGCTCTCAACATGAAATCTGAGACACATAAAATAAAGAGTTGATGCCTGCCTTGTGCTGCTGGTTTCATCTCAGTGAAGTGCCTTGCTGTGTGTCTCTGAGAACATAGACTACTAGCCATGTACTGCTACCACAGCTTCTGTTGGACTCCTTGGCTCTGGACATGCTTGCCCAGGTTTTCCACAGTGTGGCCCTGACCTGCTGGCTTCTTGACCATGCTTGAAAAAGCAAGTGCTTGCTATGGCCTTTACATTTAGCTGTGATATGTTACTGGCAAGACCGGTACCAGTACATATCCTACCATACTTGTCACTGGCTAGATAATTAACAGGGTAGTTATTATTTTGTTCTGTCTTTTTCATGGAAGATTTTAAGCATTATTTTACATAGAGTTGTGGGTGGGTGATTTATTTCTCTTCTGTTTTCCCATTTCCTAACTACAAAATTGTTAGTAAACAAACTGTGTACTTTTAAAGATATTTCAGATTTCTGGTTAACCAAGTGAAACAGCAGATCTGAACTGCAATCCAGTTTTGTTAATTAATCCAAACACTGCTATTTCTAGCATAGAGAAAAATACTTCATTCTCTTTATTTAAAAAATGTTTAAAGTTTTATATTTGAAAGAGTTCTGCTTTTTAAAGTAGTTAGATTAAAACAGTAGAAGAAAAATGATTTTTAGAGTGATGATGATGCTATTCCGATGGTCATAGTGCTAGTGTTTTCACTATGAATTGCTTTATCAGCTAATTCAAATTAATGAATGTATCTCAGACAGCTGTTCTGCCTAGTAATCTTTAACTGACAAGGTTGTCTTGCAGAATGAGGACAGAAAGTTGACAGAACAAAAAAGAAATGCGAAACTCCAGATGAAAGGCACTTTAATAAAGGCGTGTTAAGTCAATTCAGTTTAATAAGACAGTAAATGTTTTATGGCACTCTGGTATCTGTTTCTAGAATCTGAGAGACCTAAGGTGATTAGAATAAAAATAGAACAAGCAGAATTTTTGCTGTGCCTAGTGGGGAGAGGTGCTGTAGATTTATAAAATGATTCCCATGAGATTACCATTGCCGCAGGTTAGCAGAAGAGTGTTTTTTCTGTTCCAAGTGCCTTCAGTCTCATGCATCTCACTGGGTTTTTGTGGTAATAATTGTTTTTTCTTTTAAACGTTGTTTTCCTTCCTTCAAGGCAGATTAGGACTTCAAGGGCAATAGAGAGACAAAAACCATGTGAGACAGAGCATAGCTGTCAATTTGCTGCAAAGGCTTCACAGCTTATTTAGATGTACATGCGATTACACCGTTTAGTGATGAATCAGTCAGTTCTCCTGAGAAGGCAAGCCCTGAAGACCTACACCAAGTGCATTTTCACTGCTAGTCTAAACCAATCTTGAGTCTCTGCTGCTGAAAGGGGCAGGTTCCTTTTCCTGGCAGCGCATTCTTGTACCTCCCTTATGTTAGCACCAGCGTTTGTGCAGACATTCAGCCATATGGGTCAGGGAGTTGCTCCAGATGGCAATTAATCACTTTGCAAGGGGACTTCTATTAGCGTGGGCTTTCTTTCAAGGCTCATCAGCTGTCCCATCAAGCTGACAGCCTGTCTGCATGGGCAGGAGCAGGGAGAGGGAGATGCTGTGTCCCAAAAGAAATGGCTTTTGTATTCATATGGGTGCAGATTAGCATAATAAACCTGTTGATTTTTTTTGTCAGTGGACTGGATTTGGGTTGGGTTTTTTTTGGTGATATCATGTATCTTGCCATCATCAGTATTCAAATGGTAAATGCTGTGATTTTCAGCCCTGAGTCACAACATATTAAGAATCTACTCCAAAAGAGTGGTCGTGCATTTCCTAAAGTGCTTCTGACTCACATGCTGCTATCAATTGGCTGGGAAATACATGTGTGCAAAACAGAACAGGCAGTCAGATGCTCATTGTTGTGTGAGCCAAGAAACTATGTTGTTTCTTATATATTTATATATACATATGCATTTTTTGATAGGTGAAAAACCAAAAGATAGGAAAAATAATTGAGCAGGTGGATCATCTTATTTATCATCTCAGCAATTAATTTGTGATTCCAGGAGTGTATTGCTTCCTCCCTGTTGCAGACAACCTGCCAAATTGATAGTTGTGTCAAACCAGGGTGGGGTTTTTTTCAGGTCATAAACTGTCTGTACCATCTATTTTGTTTAATTAGATTCACTTAATCTGTGACAAATGTTTAGACTCTTTATCTACCACTGCCTTCCTGGATTCTGAAATAAGGTTTCTAGATGCCTTCTGTTTCACCCATGTGCTGCTGTCACAAGTGGAGGTTCAGGCCATCTGACTATTAGGCCATCAGACTATTAGGAGTTCACCTGTATTTTACTTTCAATTGGTGTTTATATGAATGCATGTCTGCCTGGGTTGTTCCAGGGATGGTCAGTATTTTTACTCATAATTCCGGTACATTACATTCATCTTAATTGTTTCACTGCTATGCCGGGAATAGTTATTGTGGAGAAAAAATAAGATATTTGTGACATTATAATAATGTTAAATACAATTTACTGCATAAACAGAACCACTGTTATCATGGAAGATGCCTCAGGGACTTGTCTGTGAGATCTGTGCAATGCTGTGCTGCTCACCTACTACTGGCCCTTTTTTTCTTAATTGTTTCAATAGTCAGATTATTTTTGTAGACTTAGTAGCTGTGAGGGGAGTAGAAAGAATAACCTTGTTGGTTATGTTTGATCTCCCATTTGATTTCAGAATTTCTATAAGGTTCATATCCATAAGGTATCACAACTCTCAACGCTTGTCTATTCCAAAGATGTTTTCAGGCACAGTAGGTGATCTTGTTTCATTGGATCTGTGAAAAACCATTTTCATAGTCTAATCTCATAAGTAATGTGCAAAAATAAATGACAGTCTCCTTTTGTTGGAGAAGCTGCATTTGTGAGTAAGAGCTGTCAGGACACATAACGCTTCTGCGAAGGTTCTCCCTGTCTGCAGTGCTCTGGATAGCCCATCGCTGTCATTTACTCCAGCTAATTAATTACAAACAGTTACAAATAAGATATTGAAGGCTGTCCCTTTGCCCTTAGATTTCCTTCACGTTGAGATGCTGTGAACATTTGGAGAATTATTTAGACACTGCAATGTCTAAAATAGGCTTTTTTGACAGGTGTTAAGGAGAAATGAGATAAGGTTAATCCATACGGTATGTTTGCTTACTGGAGATTGCTCTCTCTGACACACTGCTGCTACTCTGCTGCTACAAGGGAAGAATATTTCCCTCTCTCAGTAGTAATTGCGGGTTAGCTATCAATTTACTGTAACCTATGCACAAACTCCAATAAAATCTGTCCTCTTCTTGATCCAAATGTAGGAGTGATAGTCCAAAAGTGGAATTAGTGGGGAGTTCGGTGTCCAGTGCACTGGAGAAAGACTCCTCTGAAAGAAGCAATGACATCGGTAAGTTATAGAGCTTTTTATAGTTTGCCTAAGAAATTTATGGTGCAAGTCTGCTTTTTGGAGACTTTGTTATGATCCAAAAAGCAGACTGAGAATTTGGCAATGAATGTGAGTGATTTATGTCAATTTTTAGTTGCAGAATTGTGGAATCATTTCTGATGTACTTTAAAAGGTTTTGTTTGGGTATTTTTTTTGTTGAAGAACACAAATAGAAACATGAAACAGTGAGCTGTTTTGAGTAGAACTGTTGTTTTTGTTCAAAAGTGAAACAAGTGAAAAGGCCAACGATGTCATATTTGTTTAACAGATGTAATGTTAGTTTTGCCATAATTTTAATGCTGCAAAATGGTGCTTTTAATGTAATCTTTGCATTTTCTAGTACAAAGGAATAGAGATCAAATTTATGCCGATCTGAATCAATTCTACTGAAAACGCTGATAAAGAGAAGTCTAAATTTCTGTTTAAAACAGTTACCACACAAACAGTTTAATCAAGAAATCACCTTGAAAGGAGTGAAGATAGGCTATTTTTCCATCTTCTCTCGCCCTCCTTCTTTCTGAAGTTTCTGTGCAGGAGATGTTTGCAGAGGAGAGTGCTGCAGTAAGCGGCACTCCAAAGCAAGGTGCTCTCCTCCTGTCCCAGGGCTGTAAGCAAAGCCCATGACAGCCATCTTCACCTCCACTGAGAAATCCAACAGTGACAGCTGCTGCTGTCGCTCTGCGCAGTCACAGCTGTGCTGTGAGAAAACCCATCCTGTAAAAGGCAGAAGCAGGGTACCTTGAATGCGTAAGCATTGCTACCTTTCACTGGCAGCACTAAATGTTCTTTCGGTGTGGAGGTTTATGCACAAACTGCTTTATTAGTGACCATTTCATAAAATAGAAACTTTTTAACTGCCAAACCTGCCTTCTCTTCATACTTGCAAGCGTAGCTCAAAGTTGTGACTTTTACTTGAAATGTGAAAATAAAATGCTAAATTAATTTCATATTTATGAGCATTCCAACATCCATATGTCTGCTTTTACTTAACCTTCTGCTGTTGCTCCCTGGTTTATGATAGTAACATTATTGCATAGAACCAAGTAGTGTGTACTGTTGGATTTTTCTTTGTAATAAACATGGAAAGATAGAAGCTTGAGATAAATTGCATTAATATTTTTAATTATAAATATAAATATGAAAGAACAGTGTGGAAATTCAGTCACGTTCTGCCATTTATAAACTAGCTCTGTTTATAAATTTGCTTCAAAGCCAGCAAGCCTTTGCATTCTTGAAAAAGAGAGAGCTGATTGATTGCAAATAGCAAATAACTGTGTGATGAAAATAAACTCTTATAATTCTTGTGTGAGTTTCTTTGAAATTGATATCAGGATAAAAGCATGGAGTGCTTTGTTTTACTGTATGGTTTTGAACAACCTATAAAAGAGTAGGTGGAAAATGTCATTTGTTATGGTTTTTGTTCATTTCAGGAACTAAGCTGTTGTTTGTTTATTCAGTGGAGAGTAGGAGCCAATAGGAGTCCATAAACCAAACCACATATACAACATTTTGCAAAGGGCTTAGCTTGTGACCTCCTTTTACCACTTACAGGGAAAACCTATTGAGCCCACGGATAGAATAGTGTGAACACTTAGATAGGTATAACTTGATAGGGGTCAAACCCGAGTGGCATTTGCAAGGGCAAGTCATGTCATCCTGGCCTGTTAGACAACTTATTAAAAGAGAAAAAGAAAAAAAGTGATGATTCTGGAATAGAAGTTGACCTGAAGGTCATAACTCATATGAATTTTCAGCAGGTTTTTGATGGCTCCTGTTAAAATATTGCTGAAGAAATAACCTTTTAAGAGAGGATGGAACGATAAATTAAAACTCGATAAGCCAAAACAATTTACAGTGTGTTAACGTCTTTTACTTTGAGGAAAGGACAGTCTGCAGGCCACTGTAATTGCAAAGATTTATGATAAATACGCTAGATTTTTAATTTATTTACAAGAAAACAGAGGGTTGGTGCAGTCTTTTGGCTAAACGAGTAATGAGTAAAAACAACAGATGACTGTATATGGTGTCCAATATTTTCCTAAGCAGCAGTGGATAGGGCATTGTGAGTCCAGGTTATAGCTGGCTGTTGTCTGTGTTACTGGTTGCCCAGTCCCCACACACTCACTTTGTGGGAAAGGCAGCCTGTTTCTCTCAGGTTCATCTTTCCAGTCAAATTGAATCTGGTTAAATCTAATGGTTGTATGTCTTTTCATTAATCCAGTTTCACACAATTAATTAGAGGGGACCTACGTGACAGACCTGGTCAGACTTAGCTGCAGCCTTTGCAGAAGACTGAAGTTAAATGGCCTTCACGGTAACTCAGATATATGCCCATTCTGGTGACAGGGATGCTGCCTATATCTTCATGAACACAGATACAGTTCCAGGATGCCTTCAGCTCTCGTAGAGAAAATGGATGAAAGCAGTGTTTAGGTGCAAGTTGCCTCATCCTGTATCATGCTTATGCTTGATATTAAGGGTGAGTCATGGTCTGCAGATAAATACAGCTTTCCTGGCTTCTTTGTCACAGTGAGGTTGTTGGGCATTGGCTGTCACTTTCTCAACACTTCCTACAGCTGCTTAAAAGCCCTCCTAAAGGAGGAAGGGTGAGAACATGTGGTGTCCTGCCATATGTCATCTCTCAAAATCCACTAAGTGAAGAGCAACAACGAAGATGATAATATAACCAGCAGCTGAGAAACAATATCTAGAGGGGAACTGAAGAATGTAGGTTCAAAACTTGCCTACGTCCCCCGTTCCAGATCAGTGGCAAACACTGCCTGCTTTGGGAAAGTTACCTTACTGTTTTCTAAGAAATATCAAATCTCTAGAACTTCTGCTGTCAGTGATTTAAATCACATTTAGATACATTCTCACTCAACTTTACTTGAGAAGGCCACAGTTGCTTGAGCAAGGCTAACGTGATGTGTAATACTGCACATAACGTTCTGTCAGATGCATTTATGAGAGGTTATTTTTATGCAGATGCTAGTGCATGACTTGATTTCACTAGCATGTTTTGCTCAATTCTGACTTGACATTTGAATTTTTTTGATCATAATGCAGCCTTGATTATAATTTTGCAAACTGTATTGACAAAGGCAAGACCTGGTTAGCAATGTCGCTGCTGATTGTAAACATAATTGCAGCTATTACTACTGTTGTTCATGCCTTTGCTTCTTTCTGCATTCCTTACCAAAAGCCACTGGAAAACTAGCCCTCAGAATATAATATTTAAGAGGAGCCATTCCCTATTCCTCCTCACTTCTTTTGTTTTCTTTCTCCCTGTTTTCAGTGATGCCTTTACTTTACTTTCCACACGTATTTCATCCAGCTTTTCCTATTCACATGTCTTTGCCATGGGTAATTCTTCTTCATTTCAGGAGGGTAAGGCCTTTTATTTTCCATTTCCTTCCTTCCTGTCCTGTGTTTGCTTTAGATGACACTGTGTAACAAAGATAAATACTTTGTTGAAGGGCTGATGTGTACTTGGCAGTTACATATTTTTTTAATTCAAAGTAGAAATGGAATGTACTGTGACAGGAAGTCTTGCACCATAGCAGTGAAATGAGAAATCATTATAGTTCCTTTTATTTTCGAGTAAGAAAATTGAGTGATGTAAGTGAAGTGTACGGTATGCATACACTGTTTGTCAATGCTGTGATTTCATTAATTAGTCATTAGTCTGAAATGGGAAAAAAAAATCATAGAAATTGGAGAAGCATTCAGTGACTTTCAGTGGATCTTGCACAGACGTGTCACCCGAAACTTGCCTCTGGTATTCCTGTGGTTAAATCACAGCAGTTAGATCTGTTGTAAGTCTCATGTCCAGACTACTGTTCCAGAATTACAGAGGCTTTTGGAACTTTGAAGTGCTTCTAAAGCAACAAAAGCCACATTGAAAGTAAATCCTTTTCTACTGACACAAGAGCAGTCTCTGAAGAATTGTGTTGATTTAGTTGGTTTAAATTCGTGTCCTATTGCATAACTTGAATTTTAGATTATGCAATTGATTATTTAATCAATTAATATAATAGATTATGCATTGAATATTTAGATTATTTCTTCTTATGTACACAAAGAATTGTTACTTCTGAGAACCATTGCAATGACAAAAAGAAACAGCTAACACATGCACTAGTTTGCTGTCTCAAGCACTAATGATTACTGAACAAAATATTGTAGCTTTGGTACCACCTCACATTTATAGCAACAGAGATTTAAACAAAGTGGTTAAAAGAATAAGCCACAAAGAAATAAAAACAGTGTATCTGTTGTGGGAATGTTCAGGTAATCCACACATGAAGCAGTTTCTGCACTTTGCAAAAGGCTGATCTGCACAGATACCTACCACGTAGAGCCAAGTGGACACAATCCTTCCAGTATTTTTCCTGGCTCTTTACATGTTTTGGATAGTATTTATGAAAGCGGTTAATAATCTTCAGCAATGCTAACAGCAGAATCATATGTACCCATTGATTCCTGCCAAAACATTCGGTGTCGGTATGAATTTAAAGAGTTTTCCTCAAGCCTGGTTGATATGAGTACATTTTTCAGCGTTTCCTCAGACTTTATTGCTCAGAGCATTTGCTGAAGGATCATGGAGCACCAACTGAAGCCCTGTTATCAGCTGTTCTCTTTTCCTGTCCCTTCCCTAAGCCAGGTGCCAACATGCCTGGAAAGGTACTTAAAAATACCCTACTTGAAATTATCTTACAAACACAACTTCTTCAAAGTTTCTTTGAGCTGTATTTGCAAATGCTGCAGAACTCAACATGTTCTAACAAATAAGTGCTCGTATTTGCTAAGAGAGATGATCACTGTGCCTCTACTGGAATAAAGTGATCTAATAAGGCTTGGCCCACACCAGGGAAAAAAGCAAAGAATTTTTCCAGTAAGAAGTTATAGAATGGAGCAGCCCAAGCCATTCTACGATTCTGTGATTTTTGTGCTTAAATCAC